ATACATGGTGAGACCATCTGCACAATCATGAAATAAACATATCCACCCTCCAAAGGTTTTTTTCATGCCTCATTGTAATTTCACCTTTCCACCTCTTCCTGCCTTCCTCATCCCCAAGCAATCTCTGTTCTGCTTTCTGTCACTATAGATTAATTTGCCTTTTATAGAGTTTTATATATAAATGGGATCATAAAATATATAGTCTTTTTGGTCTGATTTCTTTCATTCATAATTATTAATTATTCATAATTATTTTGACAGTCATCTGTGTTGTGTGTATAATAGCTCATTCCTTTTAATTTCTGAGTGATATCCCATTGTATGGATATTTCACATTTTGTTTACCCATTCACCTGCTGATGGAAATTTGGATTGTTTCCTGTTGTTGGTCTTTACAAATAAAACTTCTATGAACATTTGTGTATAAGTCTGTGTATGCTCTCATTTCTCTTGGGTAACTATGTAGATGTGGAATGACTTATCATATGAAAAGTATATGTTTAAGTTTTTAAGAAACAAAGTAATCCCTTTCCCTCTTTGCATGACAATTAGTAAATTTACACCTGAATTTGTAACTTAGTCCCAGGAAATGTGAAAATCTCTACAATATACATTTGAAATACTCACCTGATTTCTGGCTTCACCTTATTTATTCTATTCCACTTTTTTCTTTGTCCACTCTCCTTCATCCTTATTTTTTGTGTATTTATGTAAGGCATGTTAAAGGTTTTCTGGAATAAGGTTTAGAGCGCTTGGCAAGCAAAAAACAAAAACAAAACAAAACAAACAAAAAACAAAACTGAGGACCTGGGTTATGATCTCCGCTCTGTTACTAAAACTTCATGTGACTTAGAGTAAACTCCTTTGATCACCTCTCTGGTTTCCAACTTCATCATCAATCAACAGTAAGGCTGAATATGTGAGCTCTGTGTGGTGTTCCAGCTCCACAACTCTTTGCTTATTTCCCCAAGGACCCTCTGCTTCTTGAAGCTAATTCTCTCACAAAGAACCAAAAAGGAAATTGTGGTGAATGTTCTACTTCCACCATTGCTACCAAAAGATCTTGGACTACATTAATCCTGG